AGAGCGCGCCTAGGAGAGGCAACGCGGGAGACAAGCTTGGTGAAATTGAAAGAATGCCGGATCCAGATTTCCACACCATATTGCCCTTGAGGTGACCTGGCTGCGACGGCCATCCTGTAGAAAACTCCAGATGTCACCTGGTCCTTGGAAGCCCGGATGCATGCCGCATCGATGTCGACGTCGTTGAACTGCCGCTCGAGAAGCTGCGCGCGCCCCAGCGCCGTAACCCCAGCAACAGTAATGCTCTCTCCCTCATATTTCGAGGAATGCAACGTTCGTGCGTCTGCAATGACAGCTCGGATAAGGATGCCGCGGCTATGTCAACACTTCCAGTGCGCGCCACTGCCTGCGCATCCCGAGGGTGTTGTTACCCCCTCTCCCGGATCCGCAGCCGTCTGAGGAGGCGTCGGCTGGGGCTCGGCTCCGAGGGGGTGCCGCGGTGCCTCGGAGGCCGCCGTCTTCCGCTTGAATGGTGGCCGCCGCGCTGGCTGCTGAGGCTGCCCAGCGCGCTCCAAGGGGCGCGTCGCAGGCGTCAGCTGCGGGGTCGCCGCGACGGAGTCGGGAGGCTCCGCCAGTGCTGGCTTGGGCGCGGTGGCCTGCGCAGCGGCCGCGATCTCTTGGATGCCGTCTAGGAGGGCGCTGATTTGCTGCTGCGCCTGCTGGGCGCGGGCCTCCGGCACGGCGCAGGACGACCTCGCGTCGCCGATCGGCGCAGGCAATGCTGTCGAGGCCGCCTGGCTCGAGTCGACCAGCGACGCAGCCTCTGGAGAGGCGAACTGGCACTGCAACATCGCGCACTCGGCTCCATCTCCTCGTCTGCTCCTCCTGGATGCCGGTGGGGGCCTCCACGAGAGCCTGCTGGCGTCGTGCAACGCCCGGCACAAGCGCGTCCGAGGGCCTGCCAGCAGCCCTCGATTTGGAAAGCGACGGATTTCGTCGCGGTCACTACCTTCTTCTCGGTCGTGAGCTGCGCCGCGAGCAACCCCGGGGCCTGCCCGAAGGAGGGGTCGGTCTCTGGCAACGCTGCCGACGCGGCCTCGAGCTGCTTAATCTTGCCCACGTGCGCGGCCCGCTCGATGGCCTTCTCCTTCCCCTTCTTGTAAATGTTCCAGGTGGCGCCCGCGTGCGGACTGGCCTGCGGGGCGACTGACTGCGCCCAACTTTTCCTGAGCCCACAGCGCTCGCAGTTCTTGACGGCGGATTGGTTCCAACCGCCGCAAGCGCCCCACTGCCACCGCCAGTCCTGCCATGACTGCGACGAGCTTTGCGGCCCAGCCCACTGCGACATCGCGGGCAGGGTGTAATTCGGCGCACTGTTTGGTGTCACTGGGCTCACGCCGTTGATTACCCACCGGTGGAACACGCATGTGCCAAAACACGCTTGTGCCAAAACGCGTGTGCTGAATCGCGCTGGGCGCCCGTGGACAAGGCCCGCCAACCCCGCCGAGCCTCCGAGGCCGCCGTGCCATGCCTTGCGAGCAGACTCAGGGCGAGAAGAAGGGTCATCGGAGAAGCGCAAGAGAGAGCCCAAACAGCACAGCAGCGCTCCAAGAGGAACAGCGATGGTCTGATGCTGAAGACGGCCCAAGAGGCCCTCAGGACGCCCCGAGAGGCCGTTGAGAGAGCCCGAATACGCAAACATCGCCCCATCTCCTTTCTTCACTGTTTTTTAACATATCCGCTGTCTGGGTCTCGGCGGCGTTCAAGACGGCCCGATCGGCCCCCGATATCGCGCCAAGACTGCCCAAGAGGTCTCCCGGCGGGTGTGAAGACGGCCCAAGAGGGCCCCAAGACTGTCTCAGAGAGCCCCGAGGCCCACACGAAGCCCAATATGCCCCCAGAAGGCTCCCAAGAGAGGCCCGCGAAAGCCACTGGGGGCCCCCGGGATGGCCGCTGGAGGCCCTCAAGAAGGCCCTAAATGGCTTCGTAAGACCCCTGGAGGCCCCAGCTCCCCAAGATGGCCCAAGACGGCCCCGGGGCGGCCCAAGGTCCCCGGGGCGGCCCAGGAGAGCACCAGGAACGACCTAACGGCGTTCCCCTACGAAGTGGATCGAACTGGCCCGACGATCTCGGTTCCACGCTTGAGGCTCGAGGTATAAATTCCTCGATCGAGAGAGACAGACCATGGATCTAGATTCGAAGTTCGACGATCGAAGATTTCCTGAGTGCCTGGGGCCTTCCAGGCATTCAGGAAGCGACCGCAGATCCATTTGTTCGGAGCTACAGCGACTTCTGCGGCTCGCCATGGGAAAGCCCCCTACTTCCTTACAGGATGGGCTCAAATGCCGGCGGGGGCAGAAGAGGAGAAAAGGAGGAGGAAGGGATGGGCAGGGATAAACCTGGGAGGCAGCAGAAGAAAAAGCCAGACCAAGAAGCATTCCTCGCCACCTCCCCCCACGAGGAGCGGCGATGAAGCAAGCGATGATTTATTGCTTTGCCTGTGAGGCGTCCGGAACAAGGCGCATGGCGCGAAGCGCCAATGCAGTCTTGCATCTATATCTATAATCCCTTTATCTTTATAATCCGGGAGGGTGCACCCCCCCCCCCCGAAACGGACCCCCCCGGATCCGCGGCGCGGGGGGGTGGGCCGGAAATCCTTTCCAAGGCGCGCGCGCAGGCGGGCAGCAATCCCAAATCGATCGGCGAAAGGCCCAAGCGCCGCCCAAGACGGTCCAGGATGGCACCACCCAGCTAGCCTTGACCCCCGCCTGATGCGCGAATATCACACCAATGTATCCCCAAAGAAGCGTTCGAACCACAAAAACATAGATGTCCCATTTGTTTTTGTATGATTTTCGGATATTCGCTTATTCGGCCTTCCGCGCGTTCGAGAACGTTGGAAACGCACTGGCACCCGCTCCTAGACGGCCCGCATGAGCCCCACGAGCGCCCGAAGCGGTCCTCAAACTGCCCGCAAGATCTGCCATGGCCGCCCAAAACTGACCCCACGACGACTGGCGCAAGGCCTTAGATACGTCACAAACGGTCCAAGATGCCCGAAGGCGCTACGGAAGTCGCCTCCAAGAGGCGCTCGAATCCCTGGAACTCTTGATTCTTCTGTGGCACGTGTATGCTTTTTCGACTATGTCCTCACTCGCCTTGCCAGGCGTCCGAGAGCGCAGGCGAGGCACCGAAAACCCTCCCCCGGCTCCAGAAAAGCCGCGCGGGGGCCCAAGACGGCTCCTATCAGGGGGACGTAAGACCTGGGTACAGGGGACTCGGAAATCCCCGACGAGGTCGTCAAAAAAATTACGAGGCCGAGCCTGCATTTTGGCGAGGCCTCCCGCTGCAGACATCCCACGAAACTCCTCCTCGTCAAAATCCGAGGCGCGGTCGTCAAAAAACGATGGCGAACCCGAGTCCTGGCAAACCCGGGTCTTACGCTCCCCCGATCCTAAACTGCCCACCAGCGGCCCCATGACCGCCCCAAACTGATCGCGAGGCGGCCGGCGAAAGGGCCGAGACACGCCCATGACGGTCCAAAATGACGCCGAGTTGGTTTGGGTTTCGTCGGGAGCCCTGAGTACCTCCAAGACGCGCTCGAACCCAAAAAAACACGGATGTTGCAATGATGTTGTATGATTCACTACCAGTCGTTCCTTCGGCCTGCCGGGCGTCCGAAAGCATTGTCAAAGCTCCGAACACCGCTACAACTAAACCCAAACGCGCTTCCTGAATCCCCAAGGCGGCCCCGCGAGGGCCCGGGACGGCCCCCAAACTGCGCATGGGCGGCGCCCGGACGGCCACGGGAGGCCCCAACGCGAGCCAAATCAGCATCCGTGGGGAGGCGCCATGAGGGCCCAAGACGACTCCCAAACTGCCCATAGGCGGCTCCAGCCCGTGGACACCGTCTGGACGCTCCTCCACAGGGCCACCCAGGAATTCCAGCTCTCCATGGGCGCCTTCTCAACGTTCCCCCAAGCGTGCAAACGGTCGCGCGGCAGTCCCAAGACGCCCCGAGGACAGTCCGAGGTGGCTCCGACATGTGCAACAAGGCCCTCGCACCGCTCCGGCAGGCCCCCATGTAGATCCATGAGCTCTCGCCCGCTCATATGGTATTCCATTGCGGAAAGCCGCAGTTCACCCGCAACCCCAGGTTCGCAACCACTTTTCTGGAAATGCAATTCGGTGGCACCCCTCACGCAGATCGGCAGGGTCAGGGTACAAAAACACGGGGTAGTTGCCACATTTCTAAAATCCGGCGGCACCCCTCACGCAGATCGGCAGGGTCAGGGTCCAACAACACAGAGAATGTGCCACATTCTTGAAATTCGGCGGCACCCCTTACGCAGATCCGTAGGGTCAGGGTACAAAAAACAAAAGGGCTTTGCCACATTTCTCTGAAGTCCGGTGGCCTCCGTGACGCAGATCCGCAGGGTCAGGGTGGAAAAAACACACAGCCTGTGTGTTTTTTCCACCCTGACCCTGCGAGCGAAGCCGGAACGAAGCCGGAGCCGGAGCCGGAGCGAAGCCGGATCGGCAAAAGCCGGCAAAAGCCGGATGACGCATCGAATCGGCAGAAGCCGGATCGGGCGAACTCGAAATCGGAATCGCGAATCGGAATCCCGGAATCGAGTCGGTTCGAAATCGGAATCGCGGAAATCGATTCGATTCGAACCGGCGGAATCGGAATGTCACAGGTCCCGACACTGCTTCACGGCGAAGCCAAAGCCCCGTGACTTCGCTCTTCCATTGCCCATTCTCCGGATGGACGGCAGTGGAGCGGCGAGGGGGAGGCAGACCGTCGGAGGGCGGGAGGGGATGAGGAAGGGGCAGGGGCTGGAGGGGGAGACGGGCAACCAAAAAAGCATACGATGAGGGAGGGGGAATGGGAGGAAGAGAAGGAGGAGGAGGAGGAGGAGGAGGAGGAGGAGGAGGAGGAGGAGGAGGAGGAGGAGGAGGGGATTGAACGCAATTCGATTGGGCTCCCGCCCGCCCTCCGAGAGGAGGGGGCTGGCGGCAGGGGGCGAAACCCTTGCGGATCAAACGAAACGAGGAGATCATGGCCGGAGCTCCTGACCCCAGCGGCAGCACCGCCCCCGCCCCCTTCGGGAAGCACATGTCTTCTCACCGCGCCGCCCTGGACAAGGACTCCGCTGGCAGGTGCTCTGTCCAGCGACCTCGCAGGACCCGACCCTACCCTAGATTTCGTAATAAAAGGGAGGGGGTCTGGACCCTCCATGACGAGCCATTTCAGACCTCCCCCGTGGGAGAACCCTCCAAAACATCGTCCCCAGACCCCCCAGGCCCTCCAAGATAGCCTGGAAGAGACCCCCCCCGAAATGAGATCCCCCTCCCTTTATTACAAAATCTGGAGTACCCGATGCGGGCGTTGCTTCCATGCCCCAGAGGAGCCGTCGAGGGGCAACCTTCCCCTGGTTTACAGGGTACCCAATGCTTGGGCGCCCGAAAGGGGTACGGAAACAATGGGTACGATGCCCAGCAACAAGTGTTGTCCCAAACCAACAGCAGGGCGCTGTTGGGCAGGCGGCCTTCCGTCTCGAATGGGCACAGGCCGTGGCGGCGCGGACAGCGGGTCCTGTTCAAAATGAACAGGAACTGCTGTTGGGCATTGTACCCATTCTTTCCGTACTCATTTCGTTCGTGCAGACACTGGGTGAGTACTCACCCACTGCGGCGCCGCCGATCTTCACCCCGGGGCGACTGCGCCAGGGTCGTGCCAGCCCCTCGGAGAAAAGGGAGCGGAACAGGCGAGAGCGCCCCTCGCAGCCTCGAGCCGGCCGCCCTGGCCCTCCCTGGCGTCCTCCTCCGGCAAATGGGAGAAGGAAGGCAAGGGTGGGGGGGGGGGGGGCGCGGGGGGGGGGGGGGGGGGGCGCTCCCCATCCTCCCCTCGCTCGCTCCCCCTATTAGAGGAGAGGGAACTATGCACATACACCGATTCTGACCAGGCCAATCCTGAGCCCAGGATCGGTGCATACGCCCTCCTGCATTGGCCAGGAAGACGTATGCACCGATTCTGGGCCCAGGATGGGCCTGGCCAGGACTGGCGCATGTGCATGGCTCTCTTCGCCCGACCTGTCCTCGTTCCCGCTCGCCCCCGCCCTCCCCTTGCTCGCCTGCCCCGCTCGCCCGCCCTCCCGCCAGTCTTGGAGTCGCCGACCAGGTAGAAGCGCTGTGGGCGGCGAGCGCTCGTTTGGTCGCGCGCGAGGGCAGGGCCCTCGGCCCGTGGAGCGCGGTGGGCAGGACCGAGGGGGGGGCGGGGGGGGGGGGGGGCAGAGAGGGCCGAGGCAGAGAGCGGCGGGGGTCCTTCCTCCAGGCAGCTCGCTGCAGTCCAGCGAGGTGCATGCCACTTCTGGACGGCTCCGCCCGCAGCACGGGCGCGCACGACGTGGAAAGGAGAAGGGGGCAGGGGGACGGCGGTGCTCGCCTTGGGGTATGTTTGCTCCGGCTCGGAGTATCTTGGGGACTGTCGTAAGGCGACGGTGGGCGTGTCTCGGGCCGCCTGGGTCGCTCTGACTCCCGAAGGGGCGGGTCGATGAAGGTCTTGCGCTGCCAGCGTGGGGCCAGCGTTGGACCAGGACGACGTGTGATGCAACGCGGCGCAAGGCACTGCAACGCAAGCCGCAAAGCAATGCCAACACATGAAGTAGACGTCTCGTGCTGCTGTACCCCACCGTCTGAGCATGGGTGTGCCTGAGAGTCTGAACCACCATGGGCACCAGCGGCTGCGTATGAGTCTGGCCGGGATTGGGTCCAGTTCTGGTGACGCTTTACAGGCGCCTCTGACTATGAACGGTCCTTAATATGAGTGCGCGTGGATACGAGCGAGTCGGACTGTGAGCGGATATGGGGGTGAGTCTGAGCGGGTCTGAACGTGATAGATTGGGTATGCATGAATATGAATGTGAGTGGTTCTGAGTGTGAGTGCGTCTGGGTGTGAGCGCGTAAGCGCGAACCGTTTGCATACGAGTGGATCCGTGCACGAATGTTTCGTAGCGCGAGGGCCGCTGAGCTTGAACGGATGAGCATGAGCAGAGCTGAGCATGAATAGATCTGCTCATGGGTGATTGAATGTGCGTGAGTCTGAATACGAGTAGGTCTTAGGTTGAGCAGGTCTGCGTATCAGGGACTGCGAGCATGAGGGCCTGTTGGTCGGGCCTCCCATACTCTCCTGTGACCTCCTGGAGGCCCTTGAAGCTTCCAGGAGTTTCCTGGAGCTTCCTTGGGCCACGGCGCTTCTGGGGGTGTTCTGAAACGTCCTCGGGCCTTCTGGGGCCTCCAAGGGCCTCTGCGACCCCCCATGGGACCTGCTGGAGAGTCCCAGAGCTGCCGAGGACCTCCTTGAGGTTCCTGCGAGGTCCTCCTGCGGACTTTCGATCAAGTGCCTTTTCCGAAATTTCATGGGGCCTCCAGGCGCCTCCCTGGGAATCCTTGGCTTCGCCAAGGGCTATGAAGGGACGCGTGGATATTTTTTCCTTTTCGAATTTCATGTTAGTGGTCTCGTGCCAAACAACGACAGATCTTATTGAACTGATCTGCTCAAAAAAAAAAAAAAAAAAAAAAAAACGCGCACAAAATCCACTGCGGATGCCCTCAGAGGAAAACGAACAATGGAATGCTGCATAAGCGGCGCCTGCGTTCCGCCCGCAGTCCAACTGCAGACAAAACCACAAACCAGCAGGTCCCGAGAAGGATTGCAAGCAGGCCCTAGGGTCCCAAGACAGGCTTTGTAGGGGCCCAAAACAACTTGCAGACCTGTTTCCTCGCATATGTTCTGACGCGGTTCGGCCGTGGTCCGCGGGATTATACTGTTCATCCGCCTTTTTGCCTTCATTTCCGACGCCTCGCGTGTTTCCGCCAGCCAAGGCAAAAGCAATCGCCAGGCGAGTTGCCTCGATCATCATGTGTAGCAGCATGCGGCGCCGCAGCGAACCGAATGTGTTTTCACTGGTTCTGTACGGGAGGAGGAAGAGGAGGTGGAGGAAGCGACGGAACAAATATGGTGGCGAAGGACCAGTAGTAACGAAAGAAGAGGAACAGCAGAAGGATGGACGCGTGCTGGAGGAAACAGCAACATGCTAGAGCATCAGAAGGTCGGAAGGATGATGAGGGACCTGAGGGGGGAGGAGGGTTACGAGGAGCCAGGGGGAGGCAGCAACCGCATTGGTGATCCGCGCAGAACACCAGCGCGCCGCATCCTTTCGTAAACGAGGATGTAGGAATGTGCCAGGTGGGGAGGTGGGGGGAGCATGGGGGAGGTAGGAGGACATGGGGGTAAGAACGCTCAGGACGAAGCAGTTCCAGAGACGGTGCCCAGGCAAATGGTGTTCATCAGAAACGTGTGCCAGCATGGTGCCCAACCAAGAGGGCGACGCTGTTTACGTTAGAAACGTGAGGACGGCGCAGGAGGAATCGGAGGATTAACAGCAGCGGAGAAGGAGGACAAGGAGGAGGATGACGAGGAAACGGAGGAGGGGCGGGATGAGGACGAGGAGTAGGAAAAGGAAGGATGGGAGAGAAAAAGTCACGACGACGGCCAGAATCAATCATGGAGGATTTTGTTTGTTTTTCGCACACGGCTCTTGTTAGAAGCCCCTTGGAGTGATTTGTGGGCCATTGTGGAGCTAATTTGGAGCCATTTGGGGAGAGCCTACGGGGTCCTCTTGAGGCTGTTTCGGGCCTCCTTGAGATCCTCTTCGGGGTCTCGTGGGCCCGTCTTGGAGGCCTTGGGGGCCCTCTCGGGGCCATCTTGGAAACGCCGTCAGTCAAGAGTACGGGGGGAGGGTCCTTGCAGCGTCCCCTCTCTGGAGCCGCCCACGTCGCCTCTTGGCGCTCTCTTGGGGCGTTCTTCGGCTGCTCTTGAGCGCTCTCGGCGCCGTCTTGGGGCCTGTCGGGTTCTTCTGGAGGGCCATCTCAGGCCAGCGTGGCCATCTCGAGGCCTCAAGAGCCCATGGAAAACGAAAAGGCGGCGAGACATAACGCATAGCACGCATTGGCGTTCACTTTTTTTTGTTTTGGAGGCCTCCTTGGAGAGCTCGAAGGGCACGCGGGGCCGTCTTGAAGCGGTCTTGACGACTCAGAGGCATGTTGGAGGCTCTTCGGAATCGTCCTGGGATGCATTGAGCGATATTGGAGGCGTATCTGGGCTCCTTGCAGCCATCTCGGATACATTTTGGGTCGTATCTGGGCGCATCTGGGCGCTCCAACGACCCGCGGCTACCTTCCCGCGCAGGAAGGATTGGGCGGGGAAATGGGGAACCGTGTCTATGAAGGGGAAGAGTGGGCTTGGATGAATTACTTCGTCACGCCGCTCACGCTTAAAGGGGTGCTGGGATTCCTGTCTCCCTCCGGCCCTCTCCTGCGGCGTGCCCCTCCACTCCCCGTGACTTCTCCCCCCCCCCCGCCCTTCTTCCAGGCTCCGCGCGCGGCCTAGTGAAAACTTCGGGGAGAAAAACAAAAACTCGTTTTGAATACCTCTCCGAATTCTTGGTGGATTTTTCCTTGGGCGCGCGCATCGAAAAAAACACGCGCGGAAAAATCCGGAGGACACCCGGAAAAATTCACGCGGTTTCCGGGGCAAATTCACATTTGGATTTGGAAAAATCCGGGCAGAATTCACTCGAGAATCCGGGATAGTATTCCCAGGCGGCCGTGGAAAAATCCCACCAGCCATGCAGAGCGTGGGTGGTGGTTTAACGGGCTAGCTTATCCGCGCGTTTCTCCCTGGCAGGGACGGGCCCCCCCCCCGCCCCCCCCTGGCAGGGACGTGGACAGAGAGTGACCGCGGGGCGGTGGAGTGCCCGAAATGGCCGAAGATGGCTCCAAAGGAACCGCAGGCAACCCAAGAAGGAATCCGAGATCGCTCCAGATACTTGCAGATGGTACAATTTTGCTTCCAATGCGCCTCCAAGCCCCCTCAAGACCGCTTCGTGACAGCCCACAATTGTCTGTCGAGCTCTTGAGGGAGGCCTCCAACAGGTTCAACTCCTTTACAATCACTGTGCGCTTCAATTTGTTTCTTCTCGCCTTTTTGCTTTCCGTAGTTTCTAGAGGCCTCGAGATGGCTGCGAGTTGGTTTGAACTTGCTTTGAGAGGGGGCCACCAGGGCCCAACTCGGCTCCAAGAGCACCAAAGTTGGGCCCAAAACGCTTCAAGGGCG